ATCGATAAAGGGTTAAACTTTCGGCTTGAATACGGGATACATACAGATACTTTAAATTTGTTTACTGATTCAAAACGAAATGACCAAGATAAAAAAATTAGTAATTTACTTCGGGAAGTTCGTAGTAATAACATGTTAATTTAATAGTATGGCATTCACTAAAAACGTATATATTCTGTATTGTTTATATTTGTTTAACAAAGATTTTACAACATGAAATATTCAATTTTTAAGTATTCTCTTGTCTATTTTCCTGTAATGTGTATGTAATGAAACAAGGAAATACCTTATGTAAATATTTTATTTATTACATAAAGGCTTTGTATTATACAAATAATTTAAGCCATACCCATTGCTGGTAAGACAGATGGTACTTCAGGCTTGGGAACTTTGCTCTCACTGCTCGGTACTGTGGGAAGTGGTTCTTCTTTAGGATCGACAACTGAAACATTATCAGGAAGTGGTTTCTTGGGACCTTGTTTGCCTGCAGGGTCGAATGGAACATAATTTTAACTTTAATTCCTAACACTCCTTGCCTCAACAATACGTGACGGGTGGCTGTGTCAACATAGTCATTGCATGGATCTCCTGAGTGGATCATGAGTCCATCAATGAATTTCATTGACTTGGCACGTTGTCCTCTGAGTTTTCCGGAAACAACTACTTCACAGCCTTTAGCTCCAGATTCCATAATGAAACGCAATACACCATAGCAGGCACGTCTTACAGCCAAACCTCCGATAAGTTTGTATCTTAAAGATTCAGCTTGAGCAATTGCGCACAAACCTCTGGTAGCAACCTACAATAATAAAGCATATTAATAATAAGAAACAGCTTTCATTAGTCACAATCATGCACTAGCAATTAACTCAAAATAACATTATCATTGACATACTTTTTCAGCATATAATTCGACGGAGTTATCAATGAAATTGAAACGCTTTTGAACTACTGCAGTAAGTTCACGAATACGTCGGCCCTTCTCTCCCAAGACATTTTGTGTTCTTGTTGCCATGATAATGATTTCAGTTCGGGTTGGGGTAACTCGAACCTCGACTCCGGAGTACCCATCTCTGCCAATTCTCTTGTCAAAAACTCATTGAGCTCAGCTTTGAAAACTCCGTCAGCTACGAACTAAAACAGAAATAACTAATCAATCACTTAGAACGTTTTGATATCTTTGAACATGTTTTTCGGTCGTATAGGTTATAACACGTTTTACACTTATGTTTTGTTGAATAACGTTGTTCCTTAAGTCACAAACTTTACTTATATGCACGAAATTCTTACCTTACGTTTTTTGGAAATTGCAGTGGCCATAACTGTGTATTTTAGTTTCTGACAAACGTATACATTTGCAGCACGAAGAGGAAAAGAAATAATTTTCTATGAACTGTACTAAGTGGATGCCGGAAACAAAATACAGGTTGCCAACTTATCGACGTAATGGCGCGAATTATAAATCATTTTTGCTTTCCATATTAACATTCATTGTACTAAGTATTTTTTTAAGTTACTATATTATTAATTATATTTTAATCACTTTAACAAATTATTTTGTAATGAACTATAATAAATACTTATATATTTATTTTAAAAGTAAGAAAATATTAACATTTAATTTAATGCATTCTGGATAAAATCCAAAATTTATATTTAGTAAATATTTTTAATGAATTTTAATAAACTCTATTCGGCTATTAAATGTGAGATCATATTTTCAATCGCAGATTCGATTTTCAAAAGCAATCTATTACTAACTTTCACATTGAACACTTATGACCACTGCAAAAAGAAATGGGAGATAAAATACATTAAGTAAAATAAAACATTTTTATTAAAGTTCATGATACACATACATATAATACATATTCAAGTATACTCTTCTAAATATATATTCTTTTTTACCACATATTCAATATGCAAACAATTATATATAAAATGTAATTACACCACAATCATGCAAATGCAATATACAGTATCACAATTTACAAGACAATCTTTACATTAGCTTGTTAACAAAGTATAACAATAATAAAAATAGGGTTTATTTTTACATGAAATTACATGATATGTGTATAAAAAGGAAGTTTACAGAAATCATCGAAAGTTGAATTAAATTGTTTTAATTTTATATAAAATTATTTCCAAATAGGCACTTAGCAGTTGGAAAAATAGTAACTTAAACACTAGCATATATGGTGTCTGTGATATTAATCTGGAATGATTCACTGAAGTCTTAAAATAATCTTGCAACATAATAAACTTCGATTTCAGAGTTTAAGAATAATCATATGCTTAAATATAATTGGCTAATATCAATTTTCAACAAGAATAAATGTGATCCAGTACAGATTATCATGACACATTTTCAATTATAATATACATATAATAACATAATACAAAATAATTAAATGGAATATATTATAAAATAATTGATTTGGTGATTAACTTATATTTTATTATCATTATGTCCATTTCTCTATTCCTCAGGCCGAATCATATATTATTCACATTCCTTAAGACTTAATAAAGATTTACGCAGTAAATCATGTTGAGATCTAGCTTGTTTAATTTCCAATTCTGCCAATTCCACAAGGCTGAAAATCAATAATTTGTTAAAGTTGTATAAAAATTATTTACTATAAAAAATTACCTTTTTTTGAAGGCAGCTACTCTTCTAGCACGAAAACCAATAAGCTCATCTTTTCCACGAGCTGACATTGATTCAAACATTTCACAAGCTTTTGTTTGAGCAGTCTCCGCCTAAAAAAGATTTAATTTAACTAACAGTCTTTAGATAATCGAAGTTATAAACGTACAGAATACATAAAAATGTTACAATGATTATAAAAAAAAATCTTTACATAATTATTACCTCCTGTACTTCTATAGGCTGCATGTTATTGAAAAAATATGTATATAATTTTTTTCTATTTTATATTGGTTACAATCTTACTTACCGCATGAACATCTTTATTTTTTGATCTAGCCTTTTCTAAATTTCTATTTGCAGTCTCATATTCTGCCAAACATCTGCAAAAATTGGTTTTAAAATAATGTTATAATTTTAGACTATAAATTCAAAACTAGACAATCTTAATTACCTTAATCTTCTAATTAACAATGCCTTAGCTGCATTGCTCTCTCTTTGATAATAGCGTAAAGTATCGCCTAGTTTCAGATCTTGATCACTAGCCACTCGACATTCTATTTTCTGTGAAAATATGAATTGAACATTACTTTTATGTTATTACTTTTATAATACACAACACATACCCTAGCTTTCTCAAAAATATCTGCAGTTTTTGCTAGGAACTTCTCCATAGAACTACCTGTTCCATGTTCAGTAATAGAAAATTCTTTCAAAGCACATGAGATTTTAATGTAACAATCGGCCATTTCTGGAAAGTATATTGCATATGTAAAATTCATTAAATCAATCAATTTTAAACACACAACCAACCTTTATGTTTGTTAGTCATCTTAGAAGTTCTTTGTGCTGCTTCCTTTAAATTAGAATGATATTCACCCAAGAAATTATACTCAGTTTCAAAAAAGTCATTAACGTCCCTCACTGTAGCACCAAGGTAAAGTTCATCAGTTGTTTTACCTAGACATCGAACCTAGAAACAAAAATTTAGAATTAAAATACATAATTAAAACCAGACATGTTTATGATTCGAAATCATAAAATACAAATCTCCATTATTAAAGAACTAATATAATAATTACCAATCCTCCAAGATATTCCATTTTCCTTTTTGGACGTGCACAAAGGTCTTGATCATACTCTAAAAATACTTTCAAATGTGAATCATTACGAAATACTGGATGCCCTGCTAAGCGGGTGAGGAAAACCTCATGCATAGCAACAGTCTTTTTGAAAGTAGCAAGATATTCTCTGAAAGAAAATGAAAATATAAGAAAATTAATGTTTATAATTCAGTATACAAAGTTGATCATACGCCTCTAGTTCTTGTTTCATTTTAGCAAATTCTTCTTTAGTCATATTGCCCTCTCCTTCACCTAAACGTTGCAATTTTTCTCTAGAGGCATCAAAGTCTGGCCTCGGTGGGGCTGGTGGAATCTGACAAATAAAAAATAAGTTATAAAACTATTTGAAGAATAGTTAGATATTGTTTTGAACTAAATGTTAAAAAATAAAAATATATTGTACTATACTGTTTTGTACTATAGTAAACATGAATGTGAACTTACAATATAACCTGCATATTCTTCATTTTCTTCAAACCTATCATGTAACCAAATAAATTCTTCATGTTGCCTAACTACAAAAAATTCAGGCTTATTGTATCCACTTAGCGAAGTTTTTGTATGAACTGTGAATTTAACTCTATCTTTCTCAGACAAGGCATCTGATATATCAACCTGGAAAACATATTCGTAAAACACTTTTCAGTAGCATAAATTTGATAAATTTATATTATTATCAGTACTAGTAAGCAATTTTCTGCCGAAGGTGCGGCATCCGCATTATTTTGATTTCCCGGATTTTTTTCAATCACTGGACTTGAAGTATCATCCACTCCGTCCTAAAATAAAGAATTTAGTAAAGATAGTTGAAATTTATAGTACTTACAATTTAAAAATGGCAAAATATAGAAACAAAGTTATCTTTCCGCGATAAAACATTTACGCCCCTTTCTGACAAAGAACTAATAATTTAAATTGCAGTATAAACAAATCTTGCATAACACAAATCAATAACTTATTTACCATCATGTTTAAAAATTTGTTAAACCTAAATAAGATTACAAATGTTTATTTCTTGTTAGACAATTCTAATACGAATATGACGTTGACTGTCATTCATGCAGCAAAATGGTGGTTGTTGGTGGCCACAAACACTATCAAACAATGCATGTATATATTAAAAACGGTTCTCACACACATTTATCACTTTATTCAAAATGTTTTTGTTTAATTTTTTACATACCAATAGAAAAAATTTTGGATCTATATCTTTGCATACATGCCAACGATTAATATTAAAACTAGAAAAATTATCCACCGACATTTCGATATAATATGAAAGAAACTGCAGTGATGAATTTAACTTGTTGCTTATATTCGGGTTCAATATTTTTTCAGTTGTGCCATGACGAACATTTTTTTCAAATAAAGGCGCGAAATTCAATTGAATAATATTTCAAACTAATGGTGTATGGCATCGTGCCTTAAGGCAAATTGCTGGAACTTCCCGTACCCCAACAAAATATTCAAGGAATGTTAAATGTTTTCAAATAGATTATAAATAAATACTGTAACATTGTCTAATATTTATAAGAATTATATAAACCCACTAAGCCAAAATCCGTAATATTTATGTAATTTTACGCATAAAAGTTACATACTTATGTCATTTTACGTAAGATTAATGTAAGATATGTGTCATAATTTCGCCTATTTTAAGTAATGTGGATAACGTAATATGGATTACGAAAATATTTCATAATAATTACGTAATTTTTGAAAAAAAAATGACGTGGAGGGGCCCTTTTTTACACACATACATAAATACATACAGGCATATTCGTATATATGAACACACACACACATATGCGTATATGTGAACACATACATTCATGAACTTAGGAATGCGTTAGTATGTACATACATATATAATTTATATGTATGTACATACACACACACACACATATATATATATATATATATATATATATATTATCTGAAAAATAAAAGAAAAAGCACATTTATATGGTATGTTTATTTTTTCGGCATATGTACACAATTTTAACATTAGCAAATCCACAAAGTAATAAATAATAATTCACAATTTTTATAAAATAATGTAATTACATATGACATATTTATCAACATTTTCATGGCAAATGGAAAAATATACAATATGATAAATGATAAGAGAAATGCAAATTTAAAATTGAACTCGAAATAAAAATCATCGAAGTATCCTTTACAAAGACTTCATAAGTTCTTTCACTAAATATTTCATATTATGTATATATTATGTAATTAGGAATTGTATCTTCAGTTAAAACTAAATGTGGTATAAGTCTATGATATGATGTCTTCTCTACAAAAGCATTCTCGATATTTATTTCATGGCCCATTTGTGATGAAGAAATGCATCTCGGATATAAATTATTAGCTTTCGATTTTCACCTGAAATAAAAAACATGGTAATAATTTCTATTTAACTTTTAATATATATGTTTTTTTATATACTTACACAAAGCAAATGGTTTTCAAAAGGCCAAGTGATTCTGTTATAAATAATTTGTCACAGATTTTTTATTAACAATAAAATAATATTTAGAATATGAAGAATAGAATAGAAGTTATTTATATATCTAATTATTATTAGAAAAAAATTTAATAACACGCACGATCAATTTTTAGGTTAATGGAGCATTTTAGAGTAAAGATTCATGTAATTTAAGAGCCTTTAAAATAGATTTATTATAAACATATATTTTCACATATTTAATATCACTTTCACATTTAATCAGCAAATTAAAAATATTAATTTGACACTACAAAACACAACACTTAATTTAAAACACATGGCGAATAGTCCCATCTCCCATAATGCGTTTCAGGATAACTTGTTAACTTGGCATCATAGCCTAGGCTAGCGGCCGGCGGCCGGCGGCTGCCTCGCAGGATTAACGGTACTTATGTCGCTTAAGGCCGTTCATTGGTTGACAATTTCGCTCATGAAACGAAATATTCCGAAAAATCACGAGCTGTCGATCTTTATGTAATATATATGAAATAAAATCCTCATTTTTCTTACGTAATATTTTTTGCAGGCGAATTACGTAATATTTTTGTAATTATTTCGTAATATCTGATTACGTAATGTAGATTACATATTTCTTACACTAAAATTACGTAATATTACGTAACTGGTTTAGTGGGAAACTGAATTGCAAAGTTAATATTATTTATTTAAAGTATACAAGTTTTAGAACTTTAGTCAGAATTAAAATTAAAATCTGAATTATTTTCGATATACAACAAAAAAAAATTGAAAAAAATTTTTTTTTGAAAAACCAAAAAAAAATGAAACATTTTTTTTCTCAAGCAATTATTTTGTTAAAACAAGCAGAAAGTTCTTTGAATCATTTAATTCAGGCGCTTAGTTCTCTCAAAAACTGCCATTTTTAACACATTTAGCTCTGTATCTTCGAAATGGCTGGATCTGCCTTTGCCAAAAACTATAATCACCGCACTTCTCCCAATCATCACAAATTGAATGTTTTTTAGATCATTCAAATCGGACGCTCCGTTCTCTCAAAAACTCAATTTCTATTTTTTGCACACTTTGCTCTTTATCTCCGTAACGGCTGGACTGCCTTTGCCAAAAACTAATCAGCACATCTTCCTATCAATTGGGAATCGAATGTTTTTTAAACCATTCAAAACGGTTGATCCGTGCGCCCGAAAACGTGAACGAAAAAATGCGAAAATACAAAAAAACACACACACATCAATTTTATTTAGGGTATGCCAAAATGTTCAGAAACCTTCAGAACGTGGAGAAATGCAAAAAATTTCATTTTCGATTTTCGGGAAGTTAATTAAACTTATGACCTAATTTTTGCTTTTTATATATTGAGTAATATTAAATATACTGTGTATGAGATATTAAAATTAAATAGGTAGATCTTTTGACCACAAAATCATAATTGCAATACAGAATTTATATTAAATCACAGTCAATTTACAATTTCATAATGGCAAATTCGGTATTATGTGTAAAAAATATAAACGTTTATGGCAATGTCGATTATGGGCAGCCAATATATCCAAGTGATAATTGATCAAACTCAAGACTTTTGAATTCTTTTCCTTGACCTGAATGTTACTAGTATAGTTGACTTGCAAAAATGATTTAATCAATAATAATAAAAGAGCATCTACAAAAAATTTGTGTGTAAATTTGTATGTATAATTTATATTAGTTTTATTATCCTTTTTATAATGGCAAATTCGGTATTATGTGTAAAAAATATAAACGTTTATGGCAATGTCGATTATGGGCAGCCAATATATCCAAGTGATAATTGATCAAACTCAAGACTTTTGAATTCTTTTCCTTGACCTGAATGTTACTAGTATAGTTGACTTGCAAAAATGATTTAATCAATAATAATAAAAGAGCATCTACAAAAAATTTGTGTGTAAATTTGTATGTATAATTTATATTAGTTTTATTATCCTTTTTATAATGGCAAATTCGGTATTATGTGTAAAAAATATAAACGTTTATGGCAATGTCGATTATGGGCAGCCAATATATCCAAGTTTTAGCGACTACCGAACTTCAACAAACCGAGCTTTACGTTATATGCAAAATCCTCCTCATAACCCAGTGCTATTGCGAAATTGTCCATTAACAGCTTCAAGATGCAAGTCCACTGGATTAAGAAGAAAAACTAATTATGATATTGATTTTACTAAGAAGTCAACTTGCCAAAATGAAGTAAATTATCACAGATAAGAGATTATAAATTGTAATATTAGCTTGATTATGAATTCATTTCAGTACTCAAAATCTGGTGTCGGCAAGGTGAGTCGACAAGAAATCGGTCCAGCGGCAAGTAATATTCATTATATGAGACGTCTGAAGGAGCGTGTTTTTGATGATCCTCCTAGACCGATGAATAATATGATAACAGAGCATCAAAGACAATACAAGTTGAATTATTTTCCAAAAAGTTCTCCTATACCTAAACAAAATTTTACGCTGCAAAGTGAAAAAGCTGATCCATCTTTTCAATTTAGGAGTAATCAACCAGGTTATAGCAGGTTTGAAAAAAAATTGAAGTGGTAAACTTTTAACACGTGCCCCGAGGCGTGGGGTTTTTAATAGAAAGATGCTTTAATGATTCATTTATCCCTATTCCAGATATCTGGATCCTTACGCGAGTACTTCTGAATTGTCCTACGTCCCTTATACAAAAGACGACCAAAATGGGATTGCGAAGAAAGATATAATAACGTTTTACGATTTATTAAGTGGCCCCAATGGTGCCCGAGGTTCCGGTCCTCGAGTAAAGACCCATGTAAAGGCTGATACATTCAAGCCCGTGCAAGATAAAGCTGTTTTCAAAAACAAGTGCTATCAACGTATAGTTCCATTTACTATGTTTAGAGTTCCAAATTCAGGAATGACTACTGAAATTAAACGTAACTATAGCGGTCGTACAGTGACGCCGGTAAGAATTAACTGATGAACTTTAATTTTAATTTTCCGAAATAGATGCTTATGTTGTTTCCAGGAAATTCGACTTGATAATTTTAAAACTTTGTTTAAAAATCTGTGGATTTTGAATATTTCATAAACATAAAACGGCAAAAACTTTGTTTAAAAATCCGTGGATAGATATCTTAGGAAATTTTAAAAAATGAAACGGCCAAAATTTTGTTTAAAAATCGGTGGATAGATATCCTTGAATATTTCATAAAAATAAAACGGCAAAAACTTTGTTTGAAAATCTGTGGATATATATCTTTGAAAATTTGATATGTATGATATGTATTGCCAATCAAAAATCGTTACATAATTTATTGTGAAACTTTTACAGTTCAATTTAGAGGCATGCAAAGCTCCTCCAGTGCATCAATCTCCTTGGCAAGACTTATCGTCCCCTTATATGTATTGCACAGAGTATTGTCATATTGCGCATAAAACACCAGTTGATTGTATTGTTGATGTATATGGAAAACTTTAAATAAATAGAAGATGTTAACAATAAATATATTTATTTCTATAGCTTTGTACAGTTTATAATAAATAAATTAGACATTAAATTTTTTTATATACAATCAAAAAAATACTTTTAGAATGATTAATTAGGAGAAAACTTTCAGTAATTAGATGTTAACGTTTTATACTATTATTTTTTTGATATTCTAAGACATCAGCCAAAGTTAAAATAGATATTTTTCGTGTATTATCTGGAAATAAAGTTACTTTTATATTCGGTTTGTCTGGAGTGAGTAAATCAAAATGTATATCATAAACATCCTCAATGGTCTTTAATATATTGGTATCATCATGACCTTGTGATGAGATAGACCCATAATATTCTACAATATCTACAGCAAATTCATCTAATGGTAAATAATTGCAATTAATATGATTAGAACCGGGTGGTTGTTTATCCATACCATCATTATGAGGAGTATGAAAATGTTGTATGTTTATTTTTTTATTTTTGCTGGGAGAATGTACCATAATATCTGTTTCACTGCTACTAAGAGAATTATTTGATTGTTTGTCACTTGATACTGTAATTAAGGGTATCATAGAGTCACTTTGTTCCGGGAGATTATCCATTCTTTCTGCCTGTTGAATATCATTGATTTGGATTCTATCAGTAATTTTATTTGAAAAAAATTCTATAGAATGTACAGATTTTCTTGAACTACAATCAATTGAAGTTGAAGGAATGAAGGATGAGCTGCTTTGCTCAGAAAAATTATTCATACTGACTGATTTTGAATGTACACCCGTTTCTGAAAGTTCAACTTCCTGGATTTTTTCAGAAACATTTTTTGAAAAATCCTCACCGTGTATAAGTCCTATAGGAACATCATATGCATTTGTTATATTGGTTTCAATTGGTTTGGAATCATCACGTTTTCTGATCTCATTTTTAGATTGATCGAAAATAATATTTAAACTATCATCACTAGTTATTCTCTTGGGAATAATTGATTTATTTTGTTTTTGAAAGGTTGATTTATCGTATTTAGTTATTTTTTCAGAAGTTTTCAATTTCGTAATTCCATTGTTTACTAAAGGGCTGTTGAATGAACATATTAAATCAAACTCATCTGATGAGCTTTCAGTTTGATCATATGATTGTATGACTTTGCTACTCGCAGAGTACTTTAACTTTGACCTATTAAATGGAGTTTTACTTTTACTATGCTTATCTAAAATTGAAACAAATAAATCTGTATCTTCTGAGGAAGACGTGGAATTTATTTCTTCCGAAAATGATGATATTTGTTCATTGGCTTTTGAATTGCATATTTCATCGGAAGATGCTTCACATGTGCCCCACACATTTTTATTTTTATACAATCTCACTTTATGTTTAAAAGGTCTTGTATTTGGAGTTGTTTCATTTTGTTCGTCTATTTGTCTATGCTTATTTGATAAATTATTTGATGTTGCAATTTTATCTACAGGTTTTTTAGACTGTTTCTTTGAAGGTGTGTAAGATGAATTGTGAACATGATTTTTCTTATTTTCAATTTGTGCAGTTTTAGTTTTATAATTTGTTTTGTTAGTAGCAGCAGTATTTAATAATTGTTGTGACTTTGCAGGAGAGACTGATTTCTTTTCTTTAGTGTTATCCTCACTTGATAACTTTGATAATTTATTCAAGTTTTTTTTACGATGAAATACTCTTCTAAATCCATTTCGCATGCGATTTTGTTTGATATAAGCAGTTGTATCTACAGAATCAGAACTCTTAGAGTAAACAGACTTAAATGGTGGCACATTATAGCTCTGGGGTTTGAATTCACCAGAATCAGATGATGTATCGAAGTAATCATTTCGCAGAACTATTGTACTTTTGTCGTGAGAAGCTTTATCACTTAATTTTCGACCTTTTCGATTCGGGAGACCAAATTTCGAAGGTGCTTCATGGGTATCAATCCAATGTTTTATAGCATCCATGTTTTCTGATAATAATAAAATCAATATATACTTATGCAATAAAATTAAATTTTGAAACCAGTCTTGACAAATCTGAAATGTAGAATTGAGAAAGCACAATAGTAACAATTAATATTTCTGCAATACAAACTCTTAGATCAATAATAACTCCATTTATTATTACATTTATCTATATATTTTATGTTCTATTGTTTTTTGAGTACAGATTATGCAAAATGCGCCAATAGAATTTTTTGTTAATGAAAACAAAACCAAACGATTATACTGACGTTTGGATTTGAAGTGAGCAATACGCCATCTTTGTCTATACTTCTGTCATCTGTCATCCGTGTCATCCTATTCATGATTTGATACACGACATCGTTTTCCTCTTCCATCAGAATCAAAGAAAATTGCATTTTTCTTCAATGTAATCATAGATAGAAGAAAAGTATAATCTAATATATAATTTAGATTATAGTTTTAGATTATAGATATTAGTTATGATGTTGAGAAAGATGCTGAGAAAGTATGGAAGTATAGTTTCATAATTTCTGAACAAAATAATACTATCCAGATAATTTTGTATTACATAAAATTTAGTTCATATTTAATATATTTACAATTATTTTTAACCCCTACAAATCTTTTAATTACTAAATTTTTTTATAATGTATTGAAGCATAAATAATTCTTATCTTAAAGCAAATAGCGTCAATAATGAATAACAATCATAATTGTAATTATCTCAGAATAATTTAATTAATAAAATTATGAATAACATATATTGCAATTACATAGCTCACGCTTCATGCAATTAATTGTTTCTTCTGGACTCTTGATATATGGTAAATTCTCTATTTTCAAATACTTCAAATTCTTCAGTTTAATCAATTCCAAAAGTCCTTTATCAGTTACATTGCCACAACTTATAATCTCTAATTTAGTAAGAGTATTTTTTAAGATTTCCAACTTCGCCATTGCTTTATCATCAATGAGAGTACTTTTATGAAAACGAATTGCCTCAATATGTTTGCAACCGATGAAATGATCAAATCCATAACTCATTATGCTAGATTCCGTGGCATTAATTTCTTGAATATATTTTCCTTTTGGGCATTTCGGAACTTGATTGTAATCCTGCAGTTCTGTTTTCGACCCTACCCATTTGACATATGCTCCATTCCGTAACAACCATTCAGCACAAGCAATGTCTGGACCAACTTCTTTAATACGTGATTCATCTACATAATTAAATACTATGTTGAGCCATGCCCAGAAATTTCTTTTTTGTATGAAATTGTTTGAAGCTAGGTATAGATTGCGCAACTTTAACATATTTACTGTGCTTATCTTCTATTATTCAAAATATAATTACAATAGTTTCCATAATTTTTTTCGTGTTATTGCGTAACTGAAATTTTAATATGATTTGCAAAATATGAACAAATTTATAAATATGACGGAACTAAGAAAATACCAACACAAAATAGCAATAGCGCTCAAAATAAACACTAATTACTTATATCAGATTTATTTCATTAATCCACTTTTTATAATTGAAAGAACTCTTGATAATTATAAAAATAATTAAAAATATTATTTAATAAAAACAATTGGCCTAAATTGAGATTGGATTTTGTACTGAAAATTAAATCAGGATTAAATCCATATCATTTGTGTATAATGATTGAGTAATTTTTCCAATAGATTTTGAGTAATTTTCACAGACTTCATAATAAATAATTAGTTCAACTATACATTTTCTATTTAATTAGTTTAATTATTTTTTCTCAAACTCCTCGTTTTTTGTCTTCATTAAACTTAAACTTCAAAATTGTTTTGACATCTGTCAAAAATTTTGACAGCTGCGTGCGTCTTTGACAGAAAAGAAATTATTTAACAGCAGTTTAAAACTTCAGTTTATTTTTTTTCGCATTTTTAATTTAGTTTTATAAGTTATACGAGTTAAACTATATTTGGTATATTTCAACAAAGCTTATTATTAATTATTTAATTTAAATTGATAGCAAATAGATTTTATTTAACATAAGAAATGAATAACAATATAACACCTACCAAAAATGATTATTATAACGTACCTTCGAGTCCAGTTTTCAATCGTGTGAAAGTTAAAAAGATGATAAATGAATCACCATCCTTACTTAATAAGAAACAAAAAGTGCTTGAAGATTCAGCTTGCAACAAAATTCAGTCCGAAATAAGCACTCATGAGAAAAATGCAACAAATATTTCAAATGAGATATCTTGTGATGTAAGTCTTTTTTATTAAAGAAATCATTTCACTTCTAGTTTTTGAAACACCATAGCATTATTCTAGAACAACTTCTTTTTATTTGAATTCTTAAAATCACTTGCTGTTAATTGAAAACTTAATTTGTTGTATATTATGATTTTTGGTTATATATGCAATTTTTAATTTATAAGAAAAATATTGCAAATGAATTTATGTTTATGTTTCATTATTACATTCACAGAAATTGGAACAAACACATGATAATAAACAAAAGAAATATATGCTTTATTCAGAGAAATCTAAAAAGAATAATAGTCGAGATAAGATCAGTATTAAGAAAAACATTTTATCATATGCAAAATGCTTAGAGAGTTTAAATAAGACTGAAAGACAATCAAGAATGAAAGCCAAACAATTACTATCTCAAGGACTTCAAACATTTTCTGCTCTTGAAAATATTGAACAAACATCTCAAAGTAAAGAATTAACCTTAAGTAGTTCTTTAACGGATAGTGAGCTTATAACAGCAAACGATCTATTGCAAGATTTTGAAACAAAAGCTATAGATTTCAGCCAATGGACAGGTAATACAGAATTTGTGCATACATCGCCAAAATCATGTATTTTTCAAGAACAAACTAACAATGAAAAAAACAATATTTCAAAAAAGAACTGTGCTGAATAAATTTAGGTATTTTAGAAAATGAAGCAGACTTGGCCGACTTTAATGGTTTTGAATTACAGGAAAAATTAAGTGATTTTGCACTTAAAAAACATATATTTACTTTATTACCATACACGAAAACTAGAAACTGTTTTAGTGAAAATTCAGGCATCAAAAACAAAAGCACCTTATTAATAAATCCCAGTAAAAATGAACAAATAAACCAGCTCGAACCTGATGAATGCATAGATAAATTTACAGGTTTAGATAAAATTGAAAATGATACTGCAAATTATTGAGTCTCAAGATTTTTAATAACACTTGCTTGAAACAAAAGATTTCAAAAGAAAGTGATCAGATAACAAATTCAGCCAGTTTGGAAAATCATAAATCTAGTGAACATGGAAATATTACAGAATCTGATGCAGATAATATTTCTGTAAATTCTAATAAACTGTTTGAATTTAAGGAATCCCTGGCTGATGGAAGTGATATTGCCTTGGAATTAATAACTCTGGATTTGTTGGTTTTCAATCAGCTAGTGGCAAACACATAAAAATCTCAAAGAAAGCTTTAACAAAATCCAAAAAATTATTTGAGGATAATGATTCCTCAGACAACATAATTCCTATTAGTAGTGAACAAGTATGCCTAAGCAATGAACAAAGTTCTGGATACCTTCAATCAGCAAATGATAAAAATATATCAGATCCTGAAGATTTTTCAAAAAATTCATCCAATGAAGGGAAGAAAAAATACATCCCAGAGAATAATGAAATACCAGCTAATTCAAATGAATTTAGAATCCAATCAGTAGTAAATATGATGGCAAAATTGCAACATATTTTAGAAAAATCTAAAGACAATGAATTTTTAGATAAGGATGAAAATTATACTAAAAACCAAAATTGTCCTTTCATAGGTTTTCGATCTGGTAGTGGTAAAACAATTCCCATTTCTCAAAATGCTCTAGAAAAATCCAGAAAACTTTTTGAGGACGATGAAATTTCAGCTAAAGATGAAAACTCTACCAAAGATAGAGACAAAATTTGTCCTTTTGTTGGTTTTCACACAGGTAGTGGTAAACAGATTCCGATTTCACAAAATGCTTTAACAAAATGTAGAAAACTCTTTGAAGACAATGAAGTTGCTGATAAAGAATATGAAAACTGTACTAAAGAAGCAAATAGGGACAAAATTAGTTCTTTTGTTGGTTTCCAGTCTGGTAGCGGTAAACAGATTCCCATTTCACAAAATGCTTTAGCAAAATCTAGAAAACTCTTTGAGGACAGTGAAATTTCTGATAAAGAATATGAAAATTTTACCAAAGAAGCAAATGGGACAAAAATTGTTGGTTTCCAGTCTGATAGTGGTCAAAAGATTCAGATATCACAAAATGCTTTAGAGAAATCAGAAAACTCTTTCAGACAATGATTATCAATGATTGATAAAGGTGAAAATTATACTAAAGAAGTAAATAAGGACAAATTTCTCATTTTGTTGGTTTTCAATCTGGTATAGTGGTAAACAGATTCCAATTTCACAAAGTGCTTTAGAGAAATCCAAAACATTTTCAAGACAATGAAATTTCAGATGAAGAATATGCAAATTGCACTAAAGAAGTAGATAGAGACAAAATTTGTACCTTCATAGGTTTTCAATCTGGTAGTGGTAAAACTATTCCAATTTCACAAAATGCTTCAAAAAAATCCAGAATGCACTTGCAGGACAAAGAATTTTCAGACAAAGATAAAATTGTACTAAAGGAGAAGATAGAGCCAAAAATTGTCCTTTATAGGTTTCCAATCTGCTAGTGGTAAAAAGATTCAGATTTCACAAATGCTTTAGAGAAATCCAGAAAACTTTTTCTTGATGATGAATTATCAGATGAAGGTGAAAATTGTTTCCAGTCTAGTGATGGTAAACAGATTCCGATTTCACAAAACGCTTTAACAATTCTAGGAAACTCTTTGAAGACAGTGAAATTTCTGATAAAAAATATGAAAATTGTACTAAAGAAGCAAATTGGAACAAAATTAGTTCTTATGTTGGTTTCCAGTCTGGTAGTGGTAAAAAGATTCCAATTTCACAAAATGCTTTAGAAAATCCAGAAAACTCTTTCAAGACAATGAATTTCTGATAATGAATATGAAAATTGTACTAAAGGACCAAATAGGGACAACAATTGTCCTTTTATAGGTTTTTCAGTCTGGTAGTGGTAAAAAGATTCAGATTTCACAAAATGCTTTAGAAAAATCCAGAAAACTCTTTCAAGACGATGATTTATTAGATAAATGTGAAAATTATACTAAAGAAGTAAATAAGGACAAAATTGTACTTTTGTTGGTTTTCAATCTGGTAGTGGTAAACAGATTTCGATTTCACAAAGTGCTTTAGAAAAATCTAAAAAACTTTTTCAAGATGATGAATTTCAGATAAAGGTGAAAGTTGTACTAAAGAAGT